TGCAATTTGGTGGATAAGAAACAAGAAAATATAAATGAAAAGAAACCAGAAAGAGATACATGTAGTATAAAATACTTGACCTTTAGAAAGATCTTAATGCTTTGGCTGTATTTTTAATTTTATACTTAATATATATGAGTCATAGCATGAAAAATCCATCTACTCAGTGTATACTAGCTTAACAATAGAAAGTATACTTTTATAATAGCAAGATAATTCTAATTCTACCTCTGTGATCATTTAATGGTCATTATAAAGGGAAAACAAATCAATGAGAGTGAAACTATATTACTCTGTACTTTGATCATACAAATGCCTTTAAAAAATACCTTCTGCACATGTCTTTTCTCATGCTCAGAGAAAATCTTTTATGATCATATATATATATATATATAGCATTTCAGGTATATAAGCATAAAACCCTCTAGAAATGAGATAATCTTAAGTATTTTGACTCAAATCAAGAGACATGACATTGACTGAACCAGTTTTCATGGTACTAAAGCACTAATTTTCCATAAGCTCTTCTGATGTACTGAGAAACTGTACTATTTTTAATAGCTGAGATTACATTTTTATGCCAAAACAGATCAAGATCACATTTTTATTCTAAGAATAAAACTAAGGGGCTTTAACATAGGAAATGTACATACATATCCAGGGTCATAATTATAAGCTACTAATATAAAGCTAAATGCTTTTATTTAGAAGCCAGTCACTTGAATTTTAATCGGCTTTACCTTTAAATATACCTCAGAAAACAATCTTCAGGTATTCATAAGTAGTTGATTCTAGACTGAAAACTACTCTCTGAATATTATATGTTCAAGTTTCAGGACCTTCTAAGGATTGGCAACTTTTCACAACTGATTTTCACGATTATTATATTGTGATGCTATAATGTTAAGAGTAACGTGAACTTGTTGGGTCTCTAATGACTTGAGGTCAGTTAAATGTCTTTTTTGCATAAGGTAAGTGAATATTGATCCATTTCTTCTGAATTATTGCTTATAAGTCATGAAATGGTGATGAGAGTATCAGAGAATTATTAAGATCTCAGAAAAATCAGAAGTTCACCTTTAAAAAGAGGTGAAGAAGAGAGTATTTTGGGTGGTTTCTGGAGTTCTGCTCCAGAGTCATCATGCTGGGTTTGACTTCTATTTCATCATTACTTATTTCTCTGAGCCTCAGTTTCCATACCTAAAAACTGTGATTTTTAAAAAACTTAGTTATTAAAAGAATTTATATCACAGGGCATTGTGAAAGACAACAAAATAATGTATACAAAGCATTTTCCATAGACCTAGGTATAAAATTACCACGCAATAAGTATAGGCTATTATTATCATCTTTAGGTAAGGCTAATGGTAATTCTGGAGATTCAAAGGGGACAATTTCTGGCAACAAACCATGTGAATTTTACTTTTGTATGTATCCATTTCCCTTGTTTAAAAGAATGAGATAAAGAGACATTCTGGAGAATGTGTAGAAAGGTTACTTCTTTTAATTCTTTTTCCCCTTAGTATATTTAATATTTTAAATGGCTCCCTCTTAAATTCCTTCTCTATTTCCTGTTTTTTTTTTCTTGGGGGGGGGGCAGCAGCACTGGGGTTTGAACTTAGGACTTTGAGCTTGCAAAGCAGGTACTCTACAACTTAAACCATACCTCCAGTCTGTTGTACTATGGTTATTTTGGAGATGGGGTCTTGTGAACTATTTGCCCAGGCTGGCTACGAACCAAGATCCTATCTCAGCCTCCCATAAACTGGGATTACAGGTGTGAGCCAGGCATGAGCCACGGCTTCCTGGCCCTTCTCTACTTTCTTGCTAGAGACTCCTGCCAACATGCAAGGAGAAATGCTCAGCAGCCTTGGTCAAGATCTATCTCCCCTCTTACCCATCTCCGCAAGATACAAGAGCTTCAATGTCAAACAGGTGGTCCTCAAAACCCAGAGTTGCTTAATCTCTAGGAACCTAGGACTCAGGTCTAGTATAATTATTAGAATAATTTAGTTATATTTTGAACTAAGTCTGACTTGTGGACACATATAACAGTGTTCCTTTTGAAAAATGTGGTCTGACTTCTAAATAAACCTCATAATTCATCTAAAATTGAACACAGAATTACTACATGATCTAGAAATTCCAATCTTAGGTATATATCCAAAAGAACTGGAAAAAGAAACTCAAACATCTGTACATAAATGTATATAGAAGACTTTAAAGTAGAAACAATTCGAGTGCCTATCAACAGAGAGATGAATAAACAAAATGTGGTATATTCGTACAAAAGAATACTGCTCAACCATAAAAGGAATGAAGAACTAGTACATGCTACAACAATGATGAATCTTGAAGACAATATATCAAGTGAAAAACGCCAAACACAAAAGGACAAATGTTTAATTCCACTTATATGAAATATCTAGAAAATAGCAAACTTACAGAGATAGAAAGTAGATTAGAGTTTTTCAGGGGATTGTGGGAGGTGAAAATTGATAATTATTGCTTAGTGAGTATAGGATTTCTGTTTGGGGTAATGAACTTCTGGACATAGGGTGGTGGTGATTATAAAACACTGTGAATGTACTAAATGTTACATAATTATATATACTTTTAAAAGGTTAATTTTATATTATGTGAATTTTAAAGCAGTAAAAAATTGAATATAGTTAGTGTCTACAAGTATATGAAAACTTTAATAACAGATGAAATATATTTGTTAACTAAAGAAGATATGGTAGATGCTAGATGTGATGGTGTACACCTGTAATCCCAGCACTTCGGAGGCTGGGGAGAAGATATAGTGGGCAAGAGACTCAAGTCAAGAGCTAGAAAACCTAAAAGCCCAGGTTAAAGCCCTTACTATCTGTCTTTACTAATGAGGTCATCTTATAAGCCTAAGGCTGAAATTCAGAAAGCATATTTAAACCTCTGACATACTAGAAAAAAGGTACTATTAAAATAAATGAAAAGTTGGAATGTACTGGAACCCAAAAAGAAATGGGATGGATATACACTTTTGCTTTCTAATATTTTATCCTTTTTAACTAGTTTTTGGGCAAATCTTAAAATGATATGTGTGGTGGAGGTGGTTCAGTATAGTCCAGAGTGATTCTTGGAGCTTATCAAGTTAGAGGAATCCAGTCAGTTTTAGTCTGAAGCTACAGTAACAGACCTAGTCAGGATCAGATTCTGTTCTATGGAATAAGTAAGAATAATTTCCAAGGGGAGTCTAGAATCAATTTGTCTATGATTATCTTTCAGATTATAAAGCTACAGCTGGAATGAACCATTTTAAAACTTCACTAGCGATATGTGGGTTGAGAAGGAGAACTTGAGTCTATTTTGGTTAGAACCTTCAATACATCAGACTCCGTGTGTGAAAGAAGAAAGGGAGCAGAATTTCTAGCTTTTTTACTAGTGGCACAAGGCTTCTTGTGGAATAATTCTAATTTATCCAACACAAACAGGGAAGGTACTTCCATTGCTAACAAAACAAAACAAAAAAATTGTTGTCTTAAATATTTAAAAAATATAGTAATTACATAATTTAGTATTTACATTTTTTTATATAGCTAACATAGCTAATATTTTTTAAACCCTTTAGAAATCAAAGGAAAAAATTCAAATGTAAAACAATATATTGGATCAATGACTCCACACTGTATATGTACAAGACTAGGCAAGCATGTAACTTGTTAGAGGAATGATAAACATGGTCTAGGTAATCTGGTATGGTGAGAAGGGTCCCCTATAATAGGATTTTGGTAACATGAATTCTAGTCCAAGATGTACCACTTGGTGATCTGTGTGACTTAAAGCATTTGCTGCACCTGTACAATGAAAGAATTAGGTAATGGTTTTCCCCCAAAGTTTTTTTGGTTTTAAATTTTAAGCAAACTCTTAGCCCTTGAGGTTCCTCTGAAGGTCTAGGGCCCCAAAGAACAATCTGAAATCCACTAGGTGAGATAAAGCCTAATATCATTTCCTTTTCTAGTATCTTCTGATTTCATTAAAATATGCATTTGAATGCATATTTTCAAATGGTTATTTCTGGAGAAGTTATTTTATCATAAAAATATTTTGAAAAATAGAGAAGAAAACTTTCTAATTCTGAATCATACCACTCTTGTTTAACATGGGCCATAAGATTAAAGCAATTAATTAGGTTAAAGGAATAGATTTTCACTCTTTTTGGTTTTTTTTGACATATTTTCATACTACAACTTACTTTTAGTTTGGTGTGAACGATTAAATTCTCATTTTTGTCCTTTTGTAGGAGTAGCATTTTAAAGAAACATACACACACACACACGCACACAGAGAGAAGGTTCTTTTCCAGTAGCTTATTGTGCTTTTAGATCTATCCAATCACCATTGGCAATCAGCATTAAATGCCAATCCACCTATGGTTAGAAGCTAACTTGCTGCTCTATCCATCTTTATAAACCTTACTATATACCTTAATCTTTTCAAATGCAACTGTGACACAAAGTATTACAGATTTTTAAAAACCTGCTCTCTAGAACAAAATTGTGGAGCATCAGTAACCAGATAGCATTCTCAAATTTCAGTGATCTAGTCCACGGAGCTGTCCCCTATGCATAGTGCTCTGTTTCATGCAGTACATGGCTTTAGCTGGCCAAATCTTTTTTTTTTTCCCCAATGAATCAGTAGAACAGTAAAGATCTTACTTTTTTTTTTTTTTTTTAAAGCAGTGGCATATCAATGAGGCACAGATGTGTATTCCAACTCTGCATGGATGAGCACACTGTTCAATAGTGCTGGCTCACACGGTATCAGGGCGAGTTATCACTTCCCATGAAGGCACTCTTATCACCAGGGCCCAGAGAGGTGGCTGCAAATCGCAGCCTTTTTATTTTCAAGGCAGTTTTGCTGAACATTCAGGCTTCAAAGATTCACACTTCCAAAACTCTATAAGAGTTTGTGAACGCTCAATTTGCCAAAACTGTTTACACTGTAATTGGGCACCGTACCTGTGTCCATGAGATAGCGAAGGCGCTTCTCCACCAGCGCGGCACGGGTGTCAATTTGCTTTTGCTCATTCTCTAGAGCTGCCAATTCTCCTACAACATACTGACTGGTGTCTTTGAATCCTTTCTGTTAACGAGAACAAACAGGGAGGGGAAAAAAAAATCACTTGTAAGTTGCATTTTTCCTTTCTATAAACACTTAGTAAAGCACTTACCTAGAAAACCAAATACACACTTAGTATCAATGTTACTACCAAAAAGCAACTCTCTCCCTATGATTCAGAAATTTTCATACATATTACATATACCAAACTTTTGTAAATAACAAACATTTCAGCTGCTTAGTATTGTATTTATAATTTTACACCCAGATTTGGCAGAGTTAAAAAGTTAACACTAAGATAATTTTTTCCTTAGAGTTAAGTCAGAGCTTTGAAGGGAATTTTGTCTTTTGTGACTATATCAAAATAAACCTTTCATTCAAAAGTGCAATATACAAAAATACTTTTACTAAGGAATTGATCCTTAAAATATCCATCCTGAGGAATCAAATTTGTTCTATAAAAATACAAAGTTAAAAAGATGTTTTTTTGCTTTTATGGGAATTATATACTATTTAAAATACTTTTAAAAAATTATAAAAAAGAAGTTTGCAATATCTCCAGTTTTCCTTCCAGCTAATTCTTGTATTTAAACATGCCATTGTATTGATGTATTACTGATGATTATAGCTATAAATTCTAACCTGACAGGTGGTTTTAAACCTTGCTACGCAGGATCTGAGACAAGCAGTATACTGATTTGGTTAGGCTCCCATTTAACCAAATTCAGATTTCAATTTGAAAATTTACTTTTCACAACTATCTGTGTTAAAAAAATTATCCTCAGAACTTTTATTTGAAATAGTGCCAACAGCTAAAATTTTTATTTTCATATTAGAAATTTAAATCATATGGGCAGGGTAATTATTTGTGGTATTGCCAGAAAAATGGATGAAGTATAGAGCTCCCTGTGGAATATCCCTTTATGTTGACATTTCCATAACTAAGAAGAGACCTACGGAGCTGAGAAATACTGAAGAACTGCTTATATGTGACTGCTGTTTACCACCACCACCACCACCATAACTACAGTCATTGTTTATTCAGAGAAATAAATGTGTATAGTCTTTTTCTGTCAAACACCTTCCCTACATAGAAGTATATTAATCTTAATAGAGGAACTATCTTTAGGAACTCATTAAGCAAGAAACATGATCAAGAATTCTGTTAATTGTGATTTTGGAATTCTTCTGATCAATAAACAACTTATATACCTTCTGAACTAGTAAATCATTTGTACTCATACACACATTCAATTTATAACAATCAATTACTTAATTGATTGTGGAAGCTGACAAATTTAAAGTGCAAATATTTTAAGAAATCATAAAACTGATAATTTCTCAGAAGTTTGATAAAAATTCACTGCATTTAAAAAATATTCATACAAAATGGATATTCTTCCATTTGAATACAAAATATAACAAAAATTGTAATAGAATAAATGCTCATGGTAACTTAAAAAATCTGAATAAGCTGGTGAATTCTTTTTGAATTTATCTACCACACAGCAGAGCATTCTCAAAGGGGACTTTTTCTTTCTTTGGTCCCATCTGAAGGGACAAAACATGTGGTAGTTTGCAAAGACAATATAAATAACAAAGATATAAGAAAGCAGAAGTGATAAGCAACACATAACTTCATTGCTTTTACTGATTAATTTATTAAAAATAGTAACATAACCAGATTTCTTTAGTATGAGCATTCAGTATACCCAAGTATTCTGTAACTTGTAAGTTATACCAAATATTTCATCAGGATACACCAGTGTAATTCTTTGTACTTAGATCTTTCCAGGTCTTCTAAAGCTATATAACTTAAAATGAGAAGCTTTAGAGTCCTAAAAGGCAGTCAGTAATGCTGAGTGTACTTCTAAGGATTTTAAAATCCAACAAAGACTATTCTAACAGTAAAAACAATGAAAATATTTAAACAACCTACAGATAGTAAAGAAGTAACACTATTAAAGAGAGCTATGCTTCCAGACAAAAATTCAAGTTAAAACTTGTTCTTCCTGCTTCTGTCCCACAGCTGTCCATCAAAAGCAGCTTTCTCCCTGCGGTCTATCAAATATTTCCCTCACAAATCAATTTTACACATGATCAGCCCATACCCCTACTGAGCTGAACCTCCCCGTTAATTAAGTGAAGAAATTACCATATATATTATATTAATGCAAACATCATTCAGCTAGTAATTCACGGCTGATCTGGATAATGGAAAGGTTGAACACCCATTAACCCAAGCCAACAAAATGGGTTGGCTGAGAAATTCTAGCAGGTCTCATGTGACTTTTCCCTCTAACTGCAGCTCTGCGGTATCTGCTATTGTAATAATTAAAATCCTCCCGGTAGATCAATACTGGAATCTCTTTATGGGAAGTGCCCTGATGGAAATGTCTCAAGGAAGCTGGGGCTGCGGAACTCTGAAAAATTCATTTTTTTTTATCTGACAATTATCACCACACTGCAGACTAATTCAACAGTGCACCCCTCTCACTCTGCTTTGAATGCACTGGAGATTGACATCTTAAAAAACCTAACATCTCATTTTAACAAATAAAGGCACTATTTCCACATACAGTTTGAAATTATCAGCAATCATGAAACCACACAAAAAATTAATATACATTAAGCACTTCATCTTCTGATGGCTTCCTCTGAGTTTCAGTTATCGCTGCCTTCTCCTCATTTCCTTTATTTGTATCTTCCTTTATTGATCTCTGCCTTTTCATCTCTTAAAAAAAGGGGAAAAGACGTGTAAAATTATTAAAAGCTTGATACTTATATATTGAAATGTGGATTTACATTATCAGCATATGTATATGTGTGTGTATGTATATACATATATATACATACTACATATTTAAATACTGTTAAACCTATATTTAAATATTATAGGTTTATATATTTAAATACTGTTAAAACGTAAGATGGAAAAAAATTTAAAAACTGTTTCTACCTGGTCTAGTTTCAACATATTGACTGAAAGACTGAAGTTGAGTTTTTCTGACTGTAGAATCCTTGCTGAACGTAACGGGATTTCTAAAACGTTCTGTTGCTTTTTGTAATCTCTCAGTCCGGAGATCTTCTGTGCCATTCTAAAAGTAAAACAATACATAGTACAAGAGTCCTGATCTTATGAACATGAAATTATACATTATGAAGGTAACTCTTACTAATTTAAGATCATGCTGACTTAGAAACTTTAGAAAGTCTTTGAAAGAAAGATTTTTAAAGGACTCTAAATAGCTCAACAGCAAGTTCTAGTGCCTGTAGTCAAAAACTTTGGGGACACATTGCTTAAATTCTTGATAACATTGATATGTTAGACACTTTGAACCCTTGTGTTTCCTCCAGATGACAGGAATCATTTAAAAGCCATGTTGCCTCCTATTTCCTCCACTATTCTGCCCCATCGGTTTATACAGTCCTACAGAATTGTAGGACAAGAAGAAATAGTTTCTAATTTTATGCCCATTGAGATAAACCACTAATGCTGGATGAAGGCTAAAAGGTAGGATTATAATACTACCCCACTGAACTGCATTTCATCAGCTATAACTTTCCAAAGCCAGATTTGTAAGTAAGCCCTTTACAGCTAAGGAAACTACAATTATCTTTTCTGGAGCTTCCTATGTTAATACTGGTAACAAATTCAAATGGTTCTATCAACAAGAAATATCCCAGAAGACTAAACCACTGCAGTGTGTGGAAGCTGCAGATACCGAGGTGCTGTGTACCAAACAAATATTTCATTTTATACCTAATCTTTTATTATTTTTATTAAGTGTTTTGAAAGTAAATAGGGAAAGGCTAAGATGCATGACTAATAGCTAAGCCTGCTGAATGCTGAAACTGGTTATCAAAAGCTACCAAGACTTTGCCCTTCCTCTGCATTGAGACAATCAGTAATGAGGGAGCCCTCCAATGGCCTATTCTCTAGCCTCAAGGAGGCCTGGGATACAGAATCCTCAAGGGAAGGTAACAGTTTATCCTTTTCCACAAACACAGAATGCCTCATTTATAAATGTGTAAACTGCATTTTATTAAAAAAAATAAAAACCCAAATCAATGCTGAAAGCTTCAAGAGAACAGATGGACTCTATATGTTCTTTATAAACACCAATTTTCAAAATCTTAACTAAAAAGATTCATTCAAAGACAAATCTGTTTTAAACACACCTTTTGTTGGAATAACTTTAAAAATTACTACATAAGAGCTTTTTGGAAAGCAAAACCAATTTCATCTATGTAGATCATTAAACCATAAGAATGAAAACACCTCTGCTTTATTTTTAAAAAGCTATCTGATATACTTATTATTAGCATCATCCTTATAATAGCCTAGCTAGGTAGTTAGGACAGAAATAATTTTGACTTTTTATGTTTTAAAATTAGTATGGATTTTACTATTATTATAATAACTATCCAATTGTTAAAACTCAAGTCTACCAAAACAAACAAATGTATATTTTCAGGCCTGGCAACATGGTAAAATATCAGTGTGATTAGCCAGCAAATCCCATCTTAAGAAATCTTTTTATGACTAGGGACTTCTGCCACTTTACAAATGTATTCCTCTAAACCCACTAATTCAGTTAGCCTTTTCATTCCATTGTATTATTCTTAGGCCAGCTTCATTCTGCATTAAATCCACTGCAGAAAGCTAAATTGAACGCAAAAAAATCAGACCTGATCCAGGCTTCCTTTTGTTCAAAGATAGAGACCAAAAGTCTTCTGCTGCTGCTACAAACTTTCATCACCAATTTATAGAAACTGACGATATAGGGGAAAAGCAATGAAATTCATTGTTTTGGGACTTCAAAGCATCTCTGTGTCAGGGGAAGGAAATCCTTTCAGTCAGCAGGGCAGTATCATAGTCTGCAGGTGGATAAAAAGTTATGCAACAAGACCAAAAGTGCCCTAAAGCTAGAGAAACGCTAATGATACACTGTGAGGAAATGGGGGAACATGTGGATGAGGATAATATAGTATAATAACAATAATAATATTCATATTATGTGGCATTTTGGATAAAATGCTACAGTAAACAAGATTCAAAATGGAACAAAACGCATGCGAGTATCTTAAACACTTATATTCTATCATATCACCATATTCGGGTGATATAGATTCTTAGAAATAACAAATTCTAGTTCATTTAAACAGGTAGAGGTTGATGACAGAAAATTAGGCTGAAATTCTCTTTCCAATATTATTCTTAGTAAAATGTACATACATATAGAACTCAAGAACAGTTTCCAAATACCCTCTAATTTTACTCGAGAGAGCAATTGAAAGTAGATGTTTCCCTGCAAAACAGTATTTGAATACTGATTACCATATTGATATTTAATTTGTTGGCTAATTTATAAAACTTTTTATACCTTAATTTTAAGGTGAAGAATTTGATAAGAAGTTGTTTTTAAGATTATAAAGTGCTAGAAGAAATTAGATTATATAGATACTGAGCCAAATGTTAAATCAGTAAGATTTACCTTAATGTCTTGCTCTGAGCTCTCAGTTACAGCTTTCTGGGCAGCACTGGAGAGTGAATTTGACACCTGTGGCTGTGCTTCCAGGAGCTTCTTCAACTTCAAGTCCACCAATTTACTATTTTGTTCTGTTAAGTATGCAAATACCATGAATATTTAGATGTATTTAGATGTATAAATTAACAATTTTAGTTGACATCATAAAAATATTACTATGCTTTAAAAGAAAGGAGAACATTAGGACTGTGAGACAAGACAACATATCAGATTAGGCACATGCAGAGCTCTTTAGATGTATATTTAGCCTTCAGTGACTTCCATTAAAGAGTATAGTCAGTATACCTAAAGATAACTAAGTTATGCTATAGGTAATAGTCACTCTGCTTACCTGAAAAGCTAAGTTGTATGTGATGCATATATTTATAAACATAACTACATAGGTTATATATAATAAAACAACAGACTATTTAAAAGAGATATTTTATTTTAAATTATATTACTTTATCATTTCAATTCTTTAGTATATTAAATTTATACATGTAATACCATGCTAAACATGTTCTTAACATGTCAATCACATACAGTTAGAATCCAATATTTAAGTGTATATCTATATATATAAAAATGTATATATATAGATATACACTTACCATTGAAATGGTACATGTTTATAAATACCTTCTACTTAGTGGAAATACAGTAAAGATTACCATGTTTTTAGAATGTACTAATTTAGACAGAAATTTAAATAAAATATGGCTGTAACTTTTTAAATAATCAATTTCAAATTATTGGTAGCAAGCACACTAATCTTTAATAATAAAATAGTTCAGAAACAAGTAGAAACACAAATATTTTATTTAAATTTATACAAAGCAATTCTTTAATAAAATGACTGCAAAAGACATGCCAACCATTTGGCGAAAGATATTTTTCATAAGATTAATAACTTTTCTAATTATAATACTCTTAATAAATGCTATTATCATTACTTCCATGCAAATTGGTCAGTTTATATAGTCAGGCTCCTTTTTTAAACAATATCTGATGAACTATGGTCAAATCAAGATAAAGATTAAACAATTTATTATTAAAACATTATGACTTTTATATACATATTAAAAGAAGAATTTTGGGGAAAAGAAAGCAAGGATAAAAATCATAATATATTCTACATGCGACCAAGATTCCCATTTGTGTTCCTATTTCTTATTGTCATAAAGTAAACCATGGATTTCAATTGGGAAGCCTGTCTGTGCTCATGCTACCACTTATTGGTATGTATAAGAGCTATAAACAATGTATTAGCTCCAAATAGTAAGAATGAGGATCTTACCTAAGAAATAAGTTTTCCTATCTTCCTAATCTACTGTAAAATAAACACATGAATTATTTATTGTCACTAATTTTATACTTTTAAGTCTTCAATTCTAGGCTGAAGTCTTGGCTTAAGTGGTAGAGCACCTGCTTAGCAAGTGTGAGGCCCTGAGTTCAAACCCTAGAGAAAAAGAGAGAGAGAGAGAGAGAGAGAGAGAGAGAGAGAGAGAGAGAGAGAGAAGTCTTCAGCTTTATTTTTATGGCTGTCCTTATAGTTTCTAATAAAGTATTTGGTGGTAGTTGTGGTGGCAAGATAGATAGGCAACAATAATATCTCATAAAGAAAAATTAAGCCTAAGGTTTGCAGTTTTTAAGAAAGAAGTAAAAGGTATTCTAATTTTGAGTTAAACATCTAAAAATTTCCCTTAAATAACAGAATTCTCTTGGTTGTGTACAATTATAAACACATTGTATACATTATACTATTGCTAGATAGTATAATGTGACACTGGGACATGAAGGAGTTACTGACAAAAGGGCAGGGGTTTTCTCAAGTGTTCCTTTAGGTTAGAAAGGCCCTGGTCAGTTGTTCTTGGAGAAGTAATAGCATGATTTTATATAGAGGAAGAAACAAAGCAGGTTAGCTTTGCGGGGACATGCCACTGATGGGAAAAAGAATGCCTGCTGTCACCCCAGTTAGCATTTTGCAGGAAAAGACAATTACTAGGGGCTTTACCTCCTTTACGTCTAAAAAGATCACCAGAGAGTTTTAATTGTTGTAAGAATTCAATTCAGTTAGCATTTATGGAACCCTTTTGGGTATACAAAGCTTTGTACTGGTACTTGCTGCTGGCTTACAAAGGCAAAGCATGGAACACACATCTACTAAAAACCACCAGAAAGTATCTTTATATTTTAAACCAGAACTTACAGAGGTGAATAGCCTTTGTGATTCACTGACTTGTAATAAGATACATCATTCATTTAATTATAGTCCATAAGTAGTTTTCAAAGTGTCTTATTGTATAATCAGTTGTCAAGTATGTTTAAAAGTATCAAGTACAAAATTTGCAAAATACTATTACAACTAAGACTATCAACTTCTCTCTTTCTTTTTGAGACAAGGTCCCACTATGTTGGTTGTCCTCCTGCCTCAGCCTCTCCAGTGCTGGGATTACAGGCATGTACAGCCAACCCTGCTTAAAACTATCACATTTCTAAACTAAATCAGAAAACCTGATCCATGGTCTACATTTTCATTTAGAGTATTCCATAGATACTCCATATACATTATACAACATCACAGCAAAAATATTTAAGTAGAGAAGGGAATCTATAAACTGCCTCAAATATAACATAAAACATAGACTGACTATTAGTAATAGGAGATACAAGTTTGCTATTCCAATGTTATTGCTATTTTAGCATTCAACCTAAAACAAAATAACATAAAGTTAATGAAAGGTGGATTTAGCTAAATAATTTGTGAGGGCACAGATGTAATTAAACTATAAAATGAACCTGTTACTGATGTGATATATCTATAAAGTTTGCCATGCAGCAGGACACAAAACATTTATAATTTGAAATTACCAGGAATATCAAGGTCAGTTTCTAAGTTAGTAAGTTCATCTCCACCTCCTACAACAAAGCCTTCAGGAATCTCCTCGTTAGTATCTATCTCAATATTATCATTTTCATCTGTAGGAACATGTAGCAATAATGTTAGTACATTATTTACATTTTATATCCTTTGTTCAAAACACTAAGGAAGAAAAACCAGTATTTCAATGACAGTTATTCAAATTGAGGTCTGACACAGAAATCAGTTTAAGTCACTTTTTCACTATTAGATTAACATTTATATTTTACATTCGTATGTCAAAGATGAATTATCACATCAAAGCAGATATATAGGTTTTGACAATTTGCCACCCACTGTCTCTGCTTACTGAGTTCATTGAGTCTTTATATTTTAAAATGTAATCTATTAGTAATCTCTAATAATAGCATACAAAAATAAAGTTGATTTGATGAGAAAACCATCAAGTAATTATTTCTAAATTTCATTTTCATCATTTATCAGGTATAAATTGCATACACATCATTCCTTGTAAACTCACAGCAATATTTAAGCCATTTTAAAATTTAAGCCATTTTTATGATTTGACAGCTTTTATACTAATGAAATATTATCACAAAAGCATTATGGGTAGATTAAGAAAAGACTAGGATACAATACCTTTAATTAATTAATTAGCTAATTAACTAATTATTTTGGGGTACTGGGGATTGAACCCAGAATCTCATATGTGCTAGGCAAGTGCTCTACCTTTGAGCTACATCCACAGCCTCTAATATAGTACCTTTGTACAACTAAGACAACACACCTTACAAGAGTTAAAATTGTAACAAATTATTTGCAATATTAAATATATGAGAATGAGGAAGTCTCATCACACTATAATTATATCCTTAGTTAATGTTTTAGGTTAGAACTAATTAATGGAGCCTTTTTTAATACTAAAGGTTTCTACCATATAGAAAAGAAAAATCTCTCCAAAGTCTACTGATAAAATTGGTTATCCAATTTTTATGTAATACTGTACATTTGTAATATGCAATGGACCTTCTGGAGAAATAGCTACCTAGTCTTGGAAGTTGAAGAATATCCCTACTACTCTACAAGGTAGTTTTTACTGGGTAACTTTTGTTAATAGTAAGATATTCCAAAGATTTTTTTTCCAATTGAGAGGTTCCAAAATTCCATACCTTTGGCTTAATCCCTTAAGATGAAATTGTACATCCTTATGATTGATTTTTGGCTTCCCAAGTCAGTACTTACTAAGAACACTCATATTAATGATAACAGTTAACATTTATTGAAGACTTCTCATGTACTGGGTAAGCCATTTAGAGAAGAAAACAACAAAGAAAAAACACTGAGAAATGCTCCTTATGGGGGAAACAACAGTGATTAAAATCTGTCAAACACTTTCATGTAAATAGCAAAGGCATTATATGTGAGAGATCTTTTTGGATCAGCAAGTATTTGACTCATTTCATAAAAGTGAGTATTTTCAACCTCTTTGTCTTCTCGAATAATTTTGTAGCTTAGCGTATACAAGTATCTACTGAATGTTTAAAAGGTATTCAAAACACTTTTCAGCATTATGCTATGTCAGAGAGAATTTACTATTAATTTTAGGGGAATCTATTTTAAGGGATCTAGTATAGTATACTTTCTTGCTGTCAATCATCTTCCACTGATTATTACTGGCCATAATTAATGTAGAGCGAAAGTACAAAATTCAACATTAATTTACTTATTTATTCAAGAGACTTCTATTGGGTACTGTATACGCAATTAATAAAACACTGTGCTAGATGCTGAAGAGATACCAAGTTCTATAAGACATTTATTCTACCTAAATGAATATACTGAAATGATATTGAGTGTTATGGGGTAAAAATAAGGTACAGAACAAATTCAAAAGATAAACAGATGACTCTTTGCCAGTGATACCAGAAATTCTTTCTTGGACATGTTAACCTTTAAATTAGGTCTTGAGAAAGTATGGAATTTCAAGAGGTACGATTGAGGAGAGAGCATTATAGGCATGAAAGCAGGAAAGGGTAGTTATATTGAGAAAATGGTATGAAGTCCAATTTGGCTCAAGCATACTTAAAGGAAAATAATAAGAGTTAAGACTTGAAAAGCAAAACTGTGCAAGAGCCCAGAAAGGTAGAATGGAGGTTTAAATTTTACTTGATAGAGATTGTGCTGTAATATGATCAGCACTATGCTTTA